AAACAAATAAAAAACAGAAAATAAAATAAATAGTATATATTTATTAATAATTTATATTAATTAAAATATAATATAAATAAATAAAAACAGAAAATAAAATAATATATTAATTAATAATTTCATTTAAATAATAATAAAACAAAAACTAATAATAACAAAAAGACAAAAAAAACACAAAAAATCATAAAACTAATAATTTGAAACCTATGTAGGGGTGCCATTGGCAATGGCTAGGGGTGCCATTAGCCCACCCCTAAAATAGTGGGTGAAATTTACGAAACCTATGCATTACATTCTTCTAGTTTTGAGGGGAGGGGGGGTTTATGAAATAGGGGATGGTAATGGGATAATTTACGGGAATGCCACTACAGGAAGTACAGTTGGTGTCACGTGACTCGAACTGTCACCACGTGCTGTGGAGCAACAGAACATGAAGCCCGCTGAAACCAGCTGAGTAAGTTACGTGACTTGTCCATCCTACTTAACCAACAATTCACCATTTTTAATTTACAAAATATTGTGAAAATAAATAAAATTAATTAGAGTTCAGATCATACATAATAACATATATCTCCCTTTTAAGATCCCATCTTTTAATAGAATTAGGATGATTTACAGAGAATATAATAAGAACTGAAAATCATAAACTTGTTGTATTTAAATTCAACTCAATCTGATAAATCTGATATCTTTTTAATTCATGTATTAATTATGATTGTTAAGTTTTTTTAATATTACTTATTCATGTATATGTTAAGTAAATTTGAACATATATATGCAAATTTTTAAAAAATTATAGTTGAATGTAATATATATTTAAGATTTAAAGAGGATGAATGAGCAATATCAAATGATTGATAATGAAAAAATTTATGAGTAAAGAAAAAAAATATTCAAGGTTAAAAGTATATTTTGATGTACCAAAGTATTCATCCGATCAACCTGTACAGTTTAGGTTGGGTAACGTTGCATTTTCAGAAACTCTATCAAAGTTGGGGGACCTTTCAGAGATTGTATCAAAGTGGGAGGGCCAAAGAAGAGAAAGACCGAAAGTGGAAGTCGGTGTGGTATGGTTTAATAAGTGGGTCAGGGTGACCCTAACTCAAGGTAGCTTCCTTGTCGGTCCAGACTCTCATTCCGTACTTATCATTCTTAATTATAATTATTTATTTATTTTTATACTTTGAACAAAATAGATAGCAATTTGTCTCCTATTTTAGTAATAACCATTTGTGTATTCGTACAATGCAGTGGGAGCTATAAATTTTAATGATTTTGAAGTTTCATTGGTTTTATTAGAGAAGATTTAACAATGATATAAGTTATACTTAGTCTTTACATATTAATACAAAATAAATAAGAGTTATGGTTCTAATTAGAGTTTATTGATGAAAAAAATTGTATGACAGTTTAAAATCCAATATATTTAAAATCCAACATATTTAAACAACTCCACAAATGTGTTCGATTTACACCAAAGTTTAAAATCCAACATATTTAAACAACTCCACAAATGTGTTCGATTTACACCAAGAGCAAAGAATCAAGAGATCGGGAGCGAGAGTTCTAGATCAATTGAATGAGAGATGAATGAGATAACTTTTGATAACACATGGTGAATATCAGTTTGAATCTCATCTTGGGGGATGGGGAGAAGACATAGAGGTATGAGTGGGTGAAAACATGAGTGAAATATGTCAAAAGTATCTTGAAAATATGAAAAGAAAAAGTAATAATTTGTATTGGTAACTTGTACTATATGTTATTTTAATTGTAGATTAAGAGATTTTGAGACTTAATACATAAAGTAGTAGTACTTAATGCATTATGAGTTGTTTTTAAGACATTGTGTATAAATGTACAATACTTTATGCATCAAAAATTATTTTTAAGATTTTTGATAAATCTGATTTATAAAATAGTATAGATAATTTTTTTTCTTAATTAATATAACAAAATTTTCAACTTTGATTTATCAAAGTTCAAATTTTCTTACTTTTTTAGCATATGATTTTTTTTTATGATGATGACGTGAATGTGCATAACAATAATAAGTTATATATATAGAGTGAGAGGGGGTAAGATCAAATGTTAATCAAAGTTTTTGTGTTAACTTTATAAACTATTTTAACCAATGACAATCCATGTTTCTATTAGGTTTTTATCTAGCTTACAATTTAATGCCAAATATAGTTGAGTAATTTCATTTTTTATGTAACTCCCATATCATTAATTGGAAGTTACAAAATCATAAACTCCCTAAAAATGTGCATTTTTAATATTGATATTTTTATTTTTTTAATATTGATTTTCCATTTTTATTGTTTTATGACTTTGTGATTCGTGAAGGAAATACGGTAGTAAAATCTTCGATACCGTTCAAGCTATTATGGATAAACGCATTGGAAAGGAACTCGACAACATTGAGAAGATTAAAATGGTTTATGGTGACAATAAGCGAATGTCTTGGTAATGAATTAATATTTTATTGTACTCGTTTTAATCGAAATTATGTTCATTATGATGTGTTGTATTTTTTGTAGTTCATATCGTGTTGATAGCTTTTCCTTTTAATTATTAATATGTACCTAATTCACATGTTCAAATGAAATTTCATGCACGACCCATGAGAATAGATCTCTATCTTTGATGCATATTAGTATGAGATGCACAAAATGATATGTATCAAGATGTACCGGATCAATTTGTATATTAAGCGTGATTCGCAGGTGAGTTTGAGATTAAAAGTAATTAAGAGTTCAATTTTTTTATACGTTTTTCACTTTAACTTTTCTTCTCGTACAATTATCGTGTGCATATAACATTATGTATATATACATGCGTGTGTATATACGTATGTATGTATATATACATGGTTGGGTTTAGATGACAGCATGTTTGATTTGTGAGGGCGATGGGAATGGGATAATATGTGTAGCACTTTGAACCGTACAAAGTCATGGGAATGAGGAAAGGCTGGAGGCATGTATATATGAGGGGTCCATTTCCACTTTTCAATTCCATTACTATTTCCCAACTACCACCCAACTCTTTCATTTCTTTCTTTTTTATTTATTAAAAAAAAGTTAATTCTATTTTTACACATATTTGAATCATTCCAAACAAAATATTGTCACATAAAACAAAAATTCATAGGATTCAATGATTAAGCCTTTTTAATTAGTTCCGTCTACGATCTATTTATACAGTATTTTAAAAATCTATCAGATCTACAAATTGATATCAAATTGTTTCATAACGAGATTATAAAAAAATCATTTATTTAGAAAATGATCCCATCTCTATCTGCCTCTTTTCTCTAATATATGTATGACTTATGAGTTGAATATAAAAGATTAATAAAAACAATATTGTTGTAAAGATGGATCTTATGAAAGCTCAGTGA